GGAGAATGCATCCGTCCAAGGTCACACAGAGTTGCCACAAGAACCACCACAGTAGGAAGCCCGTGCCAGTTCATAATGGGGACACAATACGCGATACCATTAACACCTCACGTGAGATGAAGAAACTCAAAGCTGGAACTGTATGACATTAAGACATTTTTCAAGGGGGCTGGCATTCAGGTTCTGCCAAACAACTAGCTTGGTGACCCTGGGCAAACCTCTTCACCCTGGCCACCTCAATTTCCTCATCTGAAAAAGGGGATCATAAAACCATCCATCCCGAGTGTGGAATTAAGACAATGCGAAGGGCAGAGGCAGGAAGCCGGCTAGCGTTTATTGATCGTTTAACATGTGCCAGGCACTCTGCCAAGCACTTTACATATGTAAGCTCATTTGGTTAAATGGGGTAATGCATACAAAGTGCTTAGCACAGGCCTCCTGAAACGGGAGCGATAATGATGGCGATGAAGAAACCCATGATGAGTCCCTGGGGCAAATGTCCCTGGTTCATCCTCTCACCAGAACAGAGTGGCCGTGAGAGCTTGGGAAGGAGGTGAGAAGAGAGAGAAAATATGCAAATGAGCGAAAATCAGGGTGAGAACGGAATTAATAATGTCAACACGTTACAGTAATTAGAACCCAGGAAACCAAAGGGCCAGAGAGGGTCTGCAAACAGAGGAAACGACAAAACCTCCATACCAGCTCAGGTGTCCTCTCAGATCCCAGGCAGGCAGAGCTGGGATCCCAGGAACCAACCTTCAGGTTCTCTGTATTTCATAGATGGGGGAAAACAAAACAAAACAAAGCAAAACAGGTGAAACAGATGCACAAATGTGCAGGACGTTGAGGGTGGAGCAGGGTAGAAGCCAGTCCTCCCACCCCTCAGCTCAGGGTCCCAGTACCTGCCATTCCTGTAAAAGAAGGCACAAGACACTCCCCCCGGCCCCCCATATGCTTTAGTCACAGTTCGGAGGAGGCAAACCCTATAACCCTAAGAATCAGGAACTTGGGGGCCTGGAGACAGCTCTGTCAATCCAGTGCTTGACACACAAGCATAAGGACCCGTTTGACCCCCAGCACCCACCTAAGAAAGTTGGAGGCAGCTGTGTGTGAGGCGGGGACAAGGGGACCGCTGGTGTTTGCTGGCCTGCGAGATAAGCAGATCAGTGAGATCTAGGATCACTGTAAGGTAAAAATGGTGGAAGGGGCTGGGGGAGACACTGACATCAACAACTGGCCTTCATATTTCATATGCATGTGCAGTCCTGTGCACCTACACCCTCGGGAACTGTTTATACATGAGAGACAACAAAGCTGAGCTTTGGAGAAGGGAGGTAGCGCATAGTGGCACACGCCTGTAATCCCAGCACTTGGGAGGCAGAGGCAGATGAATCTCTGAGTTCAAAGTTAGTCTGGTCCAGGACAGCCAGGGCTACATAGAGAAACTCTGTCTCAAAATTAAAAACAACAGTAAACAACAAAAGAACAAAACCAGAAACAACAACAATAAGGAAATCAACAACAGGCGAGCACCATGGCTCAGAAAGTAAAGGTGCTTGCTGCCAAGCCTGCCAACCGGAGTGTGATCACTGGAGCCAGTGGTGGAAGGAGAGAACCAACTCTTGCAAGCGACACGCATGCCATGGCATCTGCACACACATACACTAAATAAAGAAATTAAAACTGAAAAGAGAGAGAGAGAGAGAGAGAGAGAGAGAGAAAGAGAGAGAGAGACAGAGACACTCATCCAAAACACACAGCCAGGAAATGACTATGTGACAGAGAGATCTGGAACTCAGAGGACTCTGTTCAAGGTCCAGAGCCTCGATTATTACCTTAACTTGTTCCCCTCAATGACACAGTCCCGGTCTGCTTCCTCTAACACTCCATCCCTTGTGTTCCATCCCTGTGCCCCAAACAAAACAGCTCCCCCCAGAGAAGGGTTTGGAACTGGCTTGCTTTGTTACGATGCCTCAACTCTGGAAGAAGAAAACGATCCTTTCTTTCCTTAGGCTTTCAGCTGAAAAATAACTAACTACCTCTTTAATACCTCGGTCCTTTGGATGAGAAAGCTGAGCCTCCTTCTCCCCTCAGGCTGGCACATTCACCATCCTGAGAGCACATTCTGGAAGCTGCCAGGCTGCAGGGGCTCTAGGGGGTTAGTGAGCGACAGCTGGAGGGACCCTCTCTGCAATCAGCTCAGACAGAGCAACAGAGCCAGGAGACCAATTTTCAAGTCCCCCCAACTCCCCCAGAGCTGCCTAAATTGTCTCACGTAGCCCGCACAAGCTGCCCAAGCTAACTAGGCAAGGCGTGAGAGAAGTGGAATCCCACCCAGGTCCCATCTAAGGCATCTCAGTGTTGGTGAAAGAATGGGCATCACTTTGGTTGGGAAACCTTGGGGGCTGGGAGACCCCTTGTACCACTTCTGCTTCCCTAGATGGGTGAGCACCTCTCTAGGTACCCCAGTGTGCCAAGGCCAGAGCTACTTATGATATAGCTAAGGTAAAAGAGGAGGCTGGTCCCATGCCTGGATCCATCTAAGCAAATTAGATCATTGCATCACAATGAAGGTTAATACATGCATTAACTCAGGGAAAGGCACTCACAAGAGTAGCTGGCCCCAGTGTGTTAGCAACAGTACTGGAGAGTGAGCATTGACAAGCTGCTTACCTATGGGAGGGCATCAGGCAGAGAGAGAGGAAAACTTGCCCTGCTTTCCACTCTCTGAGCACTTACTTATTCACTTCTTAATATATGCACATCATTTCTTAAGTTTAAAAAATGTAGTTTAAAGTTGGGTGGTGGTGGCAAACACTTTTAATCCCAGCACGTGGGAGGCTGAGGCAGGCGGATCCCTGAGTTCAAGGCCAGTCTGGTCTACCTCTTACGTTCCAGGACAGCTAGAGCTATATAGAGTGAGACCCTGTCTTGAAAAAAGCCAAACAGACAGAAAAATGCAGTTTAAAATTTAAGCTAGCCATCCTGTAATCCATCAGAGGGGGCTGAGAGTTCAAGACCAGCCTGGACTGCAGATTTAGAACATGTCTCAAACAAACAAACACAACAAGCAAACAAAACCAGAAAGGGATCCTTAGGGCTGGAGGGTGGCTCAGCAGTTAAGAGGGCACTGTTCTGGCAGAGGACATGAGTTTGGGTCCCAGCATTCCCCACCTGTATGTCCAGCTCCAGGGCACCATGGCCCTCTTCAGGACGCCTTGAGCACCTATGCACTGATGCACATGTGCATGTGCGCATGCACAACACACACACACATATGCATGCATGCACACAATTAATTTTAACAAGCCTCCAGAAATTTTTTTAAAGAAAAGGAATCCTCTGAAAAGTCTGAAGACTTCTTGGCATTTTGTGTTTCTCAACATGGATACAGGAGCTGGGCGGTGGTGGTGCACACCTTTAACCCAGCACTTGGGAGGCAGAGGCAGGAGGATCTCTGTGAGTTCCAGCCCAGCCTGGTCTACAGAGTGAGTTCCAGGACAGCCAGGGTAGTTACACAGAGAAACCCAGTTTCGAAAAACAAGACAAAACAAAAAAGATACAGAAGAATGTTTATACTGTGAGCCCAGATTTGCCAAATAACTGTTTCTTCATTTAGTTTACAAATATTAATGAGGTGTCAAAGTCCATCCAGCTGCTGGGGATTTAACAAGAACAAAATGAGCTATTTCTGCCCTTTTGAAGTTTTCAGCCTATCTGGTGGCCATTAACCCCCTCTGCCGTCCTTGAGAATGGACGTCTGACAGACCAGGTGGCCTTGGGCCACCAATCTTGGAGTAGAGGAGGTTCTAACGGAGCCCAAGAGGACAATGCTGTGGATGGCAGGCTTAGGGCTGCTTTCTCAAGAGGAAAATCGAGAGGACAAGGGTCACCTATACACCCCACTCAAAGCCCCTCCATCACCCTCTGCACCTGGGGCGGCGGGGGGCAGGAGGCACATGCAAGTCAGAAAGCAGCCCCAGATGCAGGAACCCACAGGAGTGAGGCAGAGGCATACCTGACTCCTCCTTAGACCCGAGTGCTGTCTGCAGTTCTTACCTGCCACTGCCAAAAGGAGGAGTAAAGCCCATGGGTGTTGGAGCCCAGGTCCAAGGGAGGCAGGAGACCCTTGCCTCTCTTCTCTCACCTTCCCAGTTCACAGGCCAGGACCTCAGCTACTCTTAGCCTCCAGATTCACTCTGTTGCCCCCCTCCTCCCCAGTCAAACACTTCATTTCCCCAAATTGGGGCCAGCACAGAGTCCCCAGATGATCTGATTTTTCCCAGGACACTTAAGTGTCCCCATCCAATGGGACCAGGGCACTCTTTACCTGACCCCACCCCGCTGATGATGGAACAGATGGCTCCTGGGACATTGGGGGACTCGGTGGCCAGATCAAAGCCACAGAGTGGGTCCCATGCCTGCCAAATCAGGTTGGCTCAAGATACATCAATTCCTGGTGACCCTCCTCACGGAGGCAGCTATCTCTGGCCATCCAGTCGGGAGGGCTCCGGGAGGCAAAAAAGAAGCACAAAGGACGGCAGAGGGCTCTTAAGAGTCCCAGGTCCCACCATACAAACAGGAAGCAGAAATGGCCAGAAATCTAAAAACATTCCAGAGACACACACAGGAGCAGAAAGAGACTTTGTGAGAGACACTCACAGGGGCGGAGCCCAGGGAACTGGGGTACCCACGGAACCAGCCATTTGAAGGGAAACATGCGGTCAGAGACCTCGCCGAGTGCAAAGACCAGCCTCGGACACACCCCCCAAACCCAAGGGAGTCACAGTCCCGGGGCGCAGCCCCAGCGGGAGCCCACGCGCACCGTACAAGCCGACGCGTGCAGCCCAGGCGCGCTGGACCGTGCGCGCGAGCGCGGGGCTGAGGCGAAGAGCGCACACAAAGGGACAAGCCGGCCCGCGCGGGGCAGGCTCCGCCCGGCCACCCAGCACCCCGGGTGGCGTCCACGCGCGGCTGCGGCCCCACCCCGCCCCGCTCACCAGCTGCAGGCAGCAGAAGGCGACCAGCGTGCAGCGCCCGCTGCACTTGCCCATGGCTCCTCCTCGCGCCGCGCGGGGCGGCGGCGTCCCGATGGCGCCCCGGGGCGGCGGGGCCGGCGACTAGGGCCGGATCCCCAGAGCCGCGGCCGGCCGCCCGCGCCCCGAGTGCATGGTGCGCGGGGTCCGCTCGGGCTCCGCGGCGTCTCCTTTGTCTGCGGCCGGCCGTCGGTACACCTCCCGCCCGCGGCGCCGGCCAGCGCGCAGCGGCCCCCGCAGGCACCGAGCGCGGCGCGGTGCAGCACTGCCCAGCTGGGGCAGCCGCCCGGGCGCTCGGCGGCTGCCGCTTCCCGGCCCACCACGTGGCTCGGCCGCCACCCGGGAGGGAGACAAGGGAGGGGCGGAAGAGCGAGGGGGGCGGGGGAGGGGAGGGGCGTGGAGCGAAGTGGAAGAGTGCGGGTCCTGAGAGCTGGCGGCTCTGGGTCGCCTCGACGCTGCTGTTCGCTGGTTGTGTCACCTTGGGCAGATCACATTACCTCTCTGGACCCAACCCCCGGGGGGGGCCTCACGAGCAAAGTAGGAAAAAAGTCCCTCTCAGGCAGTCGTGTGAACCGAGCGTTAGCCCTTAGCCTGGCTTGCTGAGTGAGCCGGAGCCACCCTGCCAGGAGAGCACTGGGGTTCCAACTTTGTCCTCTGTTTCCATCTGCGTTCTAAACCCAGTTTGCCAGCCCTCCTGGTTTCCTGGACACATTTTCTTCATTCCCACTTTCCTTTTTCTGGTGTATCCGGGGTTTCTGGAAGCCAGAGGTATTCTTGAAGCACTCTTCAGTTCCCATGAGTCCTCATAGCTCAGGGACCAGATGGGTCCCCAGAGTAGCTTTTAGGAGATCCTCCTGCCTCAGCCTCCCAAATCCTGGGATTACATGAATAAGCCACTATGTCCAACTAAACGTTTTCTTTCTTTCTTTCTTTCTTTTTTTTTTTTTTTTGGTTTTTCGAGACAGAGTTTTTCTGTAGCTTTGGAGCCTGTCCTGGGACTCCCTTTGTAGACCAGGCTGGCCTCGAACTCACAGAGATCCGCCTGCCTCTGCCTCCCGAGTGCTGGGATTACAGGCGTGCGCCACCACCGCCCGGCCCAACTAAACGTTTTAAAACACGCAAGACAAGCGTGCATAAAGCCTTAGATTTCAGCCCTTGCTTAGTCAACAACACCAGAACAAAAGGCCTTGCAGGTTATTCCCTGAGGCAACCATCCTACAAACTCAGAATGGCTCCCCCTCCCACACACACTCTCACAAGAAGCAGCTAGGATAGCAGTGGGGATTTTTCTCAGTCATTGTTAGGGAATGACAGCTGTGTCCAGCCGTTTCCAAGACTAGCTAGGCTTTCTGGTGTCTGTGCAATCCCTAAAATGATACGCAGAGCATGACTTTATGTGGGGACTGGCTCTCAGCTTTTATCAGTCTCCAAAGAGACGTTTTCCCACAAAAGAGACAATCCTCAGGTGTGCTGGTACCCCACAGGATCCCCTGCAGCCCTTTCAGCCAATGTCCGGTCCCTCCTCCATGCTGACAGTGTGCTCAGACCGTCATATGGATGGTTAGTCAACTCTCACGGAACCCAAGCAGTCTCTCTCCACACAGTGACAGTGTCCCTCTCCACACAGTGACAGGGTTCTGCTCTGCTCTGAGCAGTCCTGCCAGGCTGTTGAATGTCCATACGCCACAGGCCCGAGGCCTGACCACCTTGCTCAAAGTCTGAACTAACCCCTGTCCCCGGTCATTTATTCTCCATCCTGCCCTACTGAATCCCGGCCACCATTCTCTCTGGCCCCTCCCTGCTTCTAGGGTTGCCTTTTTTCTTTACTTATGTTGCACATCTGTGTTTGGGTGCATGCATGTTAGAGCGCCTTCATGGCTCTCAAAGGAGGACAACGTATGGGAATGAGATTCCCCCATATGGGTCCCAGATTTCAAATTCAGGTCTTTGTACGCAGTGGCAAATGTCCTTTCCCAAAGCCATCTCTCAGGCCCAGGATGGTTCTACTCTGGGGTCCCCATTTGTAGTGCAGCTGACTCCGGTTCATCTTCAGCATTTCAGCTGAGGCCTCACTCCTTGACCCTTGGTCACCCTCGGTGTCCCTTCTCTGGTGCATCCCAACCTTCGCTACCTCCATGATAGCTCGTTCAAGAACATCCTTTGCCTTTGTTTCCTGAAGGAGACTGGGAGCCCTGTGAGGACACTGAAGGAAGTCAGGACAGGAACTCCAACAGGAGGGGAACCTGGAGGCAGGAGCTGATGCAGAGGCCTTGGAGGGGTGCTGCTTACTAGATTGTTCCCCATGGCTTGCTCTCAACCTGCTTTCTTACGGAACCCAGGGCAACCAACCCAGGGATGGTCCTACCCACAATGGGCTGGGCTCTCCCCCTCAATCACTAGTTAAGAAAATGATCTACAGGTTTGCCAACAACCTGATCTTAGGGAGGCATTTTCTCATTGGGGTCCCTTCCTCTCAGATGACATTAACATAAAGTTGACATAAAATTAGCCAGCACCTGGGTCCCTTTCCAACCCTGGGTCTCAATAGGTCCCTTTTCTTTCTGAAGCCTGAGGTTCTCAGAAGGAGGCAACCCAACTGGACAAGCAGAGCAAGAGGTTCAGAACTAGGGCGGACATGGGGTGGGGGTGGGGCCTGCAGACGGTATCATGAGGGATGACTAACAGAGGCTTAGAGGAAACTGTGGAAAAGATGGAGCAGGACTCACAATGAAAAGGACAGCCATGACTCAGAGCCCAGCCACATTTCCTGAGTGTGAAGGCCGGATCCTGGTCAGGCCTGGAGGGAGGACTGGCAGATACGCTGGGAAGAGGGCACTGGGCAGTTCCCCGGCTCTAAATCAAGGCCAGGCAGGGGCTGTGGGTCTTGCCCTCTGACGATGAGAAACTGAAAGCCTTAGGAACATTTCTTTCATGATTTGGCTGAATGTTAAGCCCGATAACTCCCTCATGTTGGAGGGCAGAATCTGCTCACTAATTATAGCTTCTGGGACATTTTCTGTCACTAACCAATTCTTTAAACCAGCTGGGTGTCTGACGATTCCATTCAGTTATGGCTTGAACCACGTGGGACTATCACAGACCCCACCGGTGAAGGGCTCAGTCTCACAAGCTAGCACCCCTGCGAGAGACCAGTCCCAAACCTCTGTCTATCCTTTGTCCTGCTGGTGGACAAGCTGTCCATGGGGGCTCCCATGTCCCCCTCCTCACATGCCACAATTTGCTAGAGTTGACTTGCAGAACCCTGGCAGGTACTAGACTTACATGTGCTGGTCTATTATAAAGGATTCCAATGAATGGACAGATAAAAAGAGGTACCTAGGGTGGGATCTGATGGGGTCCTTGGTGCGGGCTTTTCTGTCTCTATAGGGTTGGTCTGCTCAGTCCGTGTTCATCACTTGGAAGAGCCAAAAGGAGCTCTTTGCTCAAGGCTTTGCAGATACCCCATCTCCAGTGGGTGAGGCTAAAGGTTCCAACCTGCTGATCATTTGACCTTTCTGATGACTGGCCCTCTTCTGAAACTACCCAGGGGCCGCCCTAGCACCTAGGACAGCTCTGGGAGGACAGAAAGATGCTTAGTGACTATCAAAAGATGTCTCTGGATACAGCCTCCCAGTACATCCCTTGTGGGAGTTTGAATGTCATTGGCTCCCATAATCTCATAGGGAGTGGCAGTATGAGGAGGTGTGGCTTTGTTGGAACAGGTGTGGTCTTGATGGAGGAAGTGTGTCACTGTGGGGGTGGGCTTTGAGGTCTCGTATCTGCTCAAGCCACGCCCAGTATCTCAGTTCACTTCTGGTTGTCTTCTGGTCAAGATGTAGAATTTTCAGCCGGGCGGTGGTGGCGCATGCCTTTAATCCCAGCATTCGGGAGGCAGAGGCAGGCGGATCTCTGTGAGTTTGAGACCAGCCTGCTCTACAGAGCTAGTTCCAGGATAGGCTCCAAAAGCCACAGAGAAACCCTGTCTTGAAAAACCAAAAAAAAAAAAAAGATGTAGAATTTTCAGCTTCTCCAGTATCATGTCTGCCAGCATGCTGCTATGTCCCGCCTTGATGATAACAGACTAAACCTCTGAAACTATAAGCTACCCAATTAAATGTTTTCCTTGTAAGCGCTGCCATGGTCATGGTGTCTCTTCACAGCAATAAAACCCTAAGACACCCCTCTAGGGCTGGAGAGATGGCTTAGAGGTTAAGAGCACTGGCTGCTCTTCTAGAGGTTCTGAGTTCAATTCCCAGCAACCACATGGTGGCTCACAACCATCTGTAATGAGATCTGGTGCCTTCTTCTGGGGTGCAGGTACTCATGCAGGCAGAACACTGTATACATAATAAATAAATGTTAAAAAAAAGAGAGAGGAAGTGCATTGTAAGCAACTTCCAAAATTCTAGAAATGATAGAGACATCTCGCTGCCTGGACAATCACCCAAAGTTCTTTTGTACCATTGGTGTATCCATCTTCAGCCTACAGGGCCATAGTATTCAGCAAACTTTTCCACAAAGCAATGGTGCCAAATGTAGTAAAGAAGCCATTTGTTGGTTCCTGGCAGCTAAGCCCAGAAATAATCACATAGAAACCATATTATTTAAATCACTGCTTGGCCCATTAGCTCTAGCTTCTTATTGGGTAAGTTTTACATATTAATTTAACCCATTTCTATTAATCTGTGTATTGCCACATGGCTGTGGCTTACCGGCTAAAATTCCAGCATCTGTCTCCTGCGGGGCTACAGGGCTTCTCCCTGACTCTGCCTCCTTTCTCCCAGCATTCAGTTTAGTTTCCCCACCTACCTAAGTTCTGCTCTGCACAGGCCTAAGACAGTTCTTTATTAACCAATGGTATTCACAGCATACAGAGGGGAATCCCACATTACCCTAATCCTAGCTCTCCAATGGAGGAGCCAAGATGATCGCAAATTCAGAGCTGATCTGGATTACACAGAATCAGCCTTACAGAGCACCTAAATGGGGTCCAGGGCTGTAGCTCAGTTGATAAGTGTTTGCTTTAGCATGCACGAAGTGCTGGGTTCAGTCCCTAGCATCACATAAAGCAGGGTTCAGCAATGCATGCTTCTAATCCCAGCTCTCTGGAGATGGAGGCAGGAGGATCAGACATTCAAAGCATCCTCTGTTATACAGCTAATGAGAGACCAGCCTGGAGTACATGTGACCTTGTCTCAAAGGGTGTGGGGGAGGCTGGTGAGTTAGATGAGTAGGAAAAGGTACCCATCTTTAAGCCTGACAACCTGAGATTGAACCTTGGTACCCATATGTTGGGAGTGGAGATCTGACTCCTGCAAGTTGTCTTCGTGTAAGCACACACACATGCA